CCCCCCCCCCCATTGTGAGTGGTTGCCACGTACGGCCCCGTGAAAGTTTTTGACGGAAAATTGGCTAACTCCAGAACCAGGGAAGCTGGGAAGCTGAAACTTTCAGGAAATGCTCCCAACTCATCTACAACTTAAATTTGTCAAATTCAGCCTTCGTCACACGTGGTTCCCACGTACGGCCTCGTGAAAATTTTTGGCTGGAATTTGGGCAACTCGGGAACTGAGAAAGCTGGCAACCTGAGGTTTCGTCCCTGTCCAAAGTATAGCGTGGATAATTCTCGAAATTCGAGGACCAGTATGTGCAAGTGGTTTCTAGCTAGCGGAATTTCGAGTGATCTTATTGCAACACAAAACACTGTAAAAACGCATAATCGCAGAGGGTCCCCCAGTGCGCGTCGCCAATGATTCAGTAAATCGGCTGGAGACTTATACTGATAGGCGGTAATGCACGAGTCGCTGAAACGAACGAACGTTAGCAGTGAAGGATGTCCATTTTTTGCTGTGTCGTAGGGCCCGTGGACAACGGCGCAAGGCCTCACCCTCAGGTTGTAAAATGCGTATTAGTTTGGTGCACTGCCAGCCGCTCAGTCTACTAAGCCCCGTATTTATCTCTTCGCATTGTTTTCCGTTCCTCAATTACCACCAGCCAGACAGCCTTCTATGTTACTGTTCACTGTCTGCTTTCAAAACCTGGGAAAGTCTATTTTTCTTCTCCCCAGCTTCTTCCATGTCTTCCGCTTTGCCCATGCAAATAATACATTTGCCAAGTGAATCCTGCGCAGTTGTTAGTAGGACTCTGTTTAATCTGAACTCGAAAACTGCAGTGCCATCCCCATTTCTCCTCCAATTTTCCAAAGCCAGTTTTCAGAATGAGCAAAAATTTGCATAATTTTTATTGTTGTGTATAATAGATCTTTATAGTGTTCTCCTGCACCTCTTTCCAGTTCCTCCCTCACTTTTATTGCTCCAAATTTCTCACTCCTTGCTCCACTGTGCATGTCGTCCCTGCTCTCTCTTTTTTTGGTGCTCCTTTATTCCCCTGTTGAGTTTTCATGCGTTTCTATGCGTTTTTTGCATCCATGCAATGCAGAAAACGCATATTGACGAGGGGTTGCCTGTGTGTATGTCTGTGTGTGCGTCTGTCATGGTTTTTCATCTCAAGACCTACAAAAGCTACAGGGCTGGAAACTTTGGGAACTTGATCTACATGCACGTATGAGTCCTAATCCCCAAACGGGCGCCCTTACCCGCGTGTCATCCATGCCAAAGTTTTCTACAGGCAAGCTGGTAACTCGGGAACCAGAAATGTTGGAAAGCTGAAATTTTAAAGGGGCGTTCCTCGTCAACACAGGTATTGATAAGCTCAAAACCAGCCCTCGGGTATGCATGGTATACACGTACGGGCCTGTGAAAGTTTTTTTTCGGGTAAGTTGCTAACTTGAGGACCTGAAAAGCTAGAAGATTGGAATTTTAAAGAAACGTTCCTCGTCCAAGTGGGTATTAATGAGCTCAAACCCAGCCATCCGGTTTTGCGTAGTTCCCACATACGGACCCGTGAAAGTTTTTTCCGGGTAAGTTGCTAACTTGGGAACCTGAGAAACTTGAGGACTGCAATTTTGAGGGGACGTTCCCTGTCAAATTGGTGCTAATGAGCTCAAACTTAGACATCGAGTTGTGCGGTACCCACTTACGGGACCCCAAAAGTCTTTTTTCGGGAAAGTTGCTAACTCGGGAATCTGAGAAGCTAGAAGAGTGTAATTTTAAGCAATTGCTAAAACTCGGCTCGGCTCGGCA